GTTTCACAGATAAGTTTCCTAGCAAGCTAAGAAAAGTGCTCAATGCCATGACATGGCCCAGGAATCTGCCAAGGTTCCAAACCAAGGGACTGTGGGCACAGCAAACAGAGGTCCCTCAGTGAACACCCAAGCCCACTAGAGCTAGCTCAGGGTCCTCACAACAACCCACGCAAATCTGAATGCCTCTACTGAAACAGCCCAACGTGACACAGCTCCTTCTGTGAGAAACAACGTTGTTCAGAAACAACAGATGTGTTCAAAACCTGAACTGTGTGAGCCCAGCCAACAGAGCATGGGTACTAAGACCCATGACATCTGCCAAGAGAGACAGGACCTGGAGCAGGAACAGAAACTATAGGAGAAATATGACCCCACAGAAGGGAACCATGACCCAAAGAGGAGAACTGTGACCCCACACAGACATGACCCCATAGAGGACTATGATCCTATGAGGAGAATGACCTCCCAATGAACAGAGGTCTTGGAAGAGAAGAAACAGACTTAGCTCAGGGGAGAGGAGTGGGTAAGTGGAAAAGTCAGAAATCATCATGAAATAATAATGTCCATACTGGGACCCAATAAAGGGCTTTGGGGCCTAAGAGATTGACTGGCTCTTCATTTCTGTTTCCTTCCAATGTTTCCCAGCTTCCCTGCAGCCATGTGCGGGCATGTGACTAAATTCTAACCAAAGGCATATGAGCAGAAGAGGTTATGTGCCAGGTCCCAGCCAGGCCCACACAACTTCCCAAGCATCACCATCCATTCTCATTTCTCTTCCATGGTTTGATGCAGACAAGCAGACCCAATCCATGGGTCAACAATAAGGAGCCACAATGTAGCAAGGGCCCGGACCCCTCAATCACTGCGTGGAGGAGGGAAGCCTGCCAATGAGGAACAACTGTTCTGGACTTTCAATGAGTGAGAAATAAACTTCTGTTGTGTTCAAGTCATTACCCAGTTCTGGATTTTTTTGTTATTGTTGTTATGGCAGCTAGTGTTAGCTTATATGGGTCCTTGGTGGAAAGTGTATACACATTCACCATTCAACTATGGTTCATTGGATCAGATCTGAAAACTCCTCAAGGGCAGTAACTGCACCTTACTTAGACTGGTTTTCTACAGAGTCCCACCACAATTTCTTGCACCCAAAAGTCCTCAAAAAAAAAATTGCCAACTTAAAATAAAGGCAAGAAATCCCCAAACAAAGCTAAAGGACCATGCATGCACAATAGTTAAAAACTTGAGTTCTGGAATCACATACACTTAGGTTCAAATCTCGTCTCCATCACTTACTAGCTGGGTGATTTCAGGCAAGTTCCCTCTGTGCTTCAGATTCCTCACTGGTCACATGGGAATATTAATATTTCCTAATTCATTGGGTTGTTGTGGAGGATTAAACGAGAGAATGCACATAAAGCACTTTGGAAGCAGTCAATTCTAATCAGCTATTATTCTAATTATAACAGAAAGCATCCACTGTAATATGCAGCCGAGATATGGAGGTCGGGGAAGAAGGCAAATGCATGTGGAGGAAGAATATGGGGGCTCAGCCTTCCCGAGCCCAGCCTGGACCACAATGAATGTTTCCAAAGTCCTTGTAATTCAAGATAATTCTAAGAAACACAGCACACGTCACTTACCCTGTTAGCACCACCACAAAGTCCATCACATTCCAACCATTCCTCAAGTAAGAGCCTTTATGGAAGGCAAACCCAAGGGCGATGATTTTAATTCCAGCCTCGAAACAAAAAATTCCAATGAAGTATGGTTCTGTGTCATCCTGGAAGGGAGAGAGGGGAAGGTCAGTGTCTCAAGCTGGGCAGAGATTGGTGCAAACAGGTAACCAGCTGACTCAGATATCTGTACCCCTTTCCCCTCACCTCTCCTGACCTTCTAGTGCTCACTTACCCCCACTGCATCCTGCCTGGAGTTACTGTGTCCAAAGGTTTTTGAAAGAAAAACAGAAGCGTGGAGAAGACACCTCCTTCATTCTTTTTGGCCAGTTTTACACACTACTGGGCCAAATAGAATTGTATGGACGTGAGCTACATGTGACCATTTAAATTTACATGAATTTAAATGAAATGAAGCAAAAGATTCTGTGCTGCAGTCACACTAGCCACATTTCCAGTGGCTACCATATTGGACAGTGCAGATGTAGGACATTTCTCACTCTGCAAGAAGTTCTATGAGAAAGCTCTGGTTTAGAACGATTATTTGTCACATTCATCATTCAGGCTTTTGTGGTGAGACCCTGTGCACTGACCTCACCCTCAAATCTGACACTCATGATGGTCGTAAGCTGGTATGTACCAATACAGCTATTCAGGTTGCAAAAATAATGGAATTAATACTTCTGCACTGGCTGGTAAGTGGCCAGTGTCCCAGCCCCCAGCTCCTTGCCAGACCTCCTGCCAGATCTGGCTTCTAGCTGATTGTCTATGGTACTTGAAATTAAGCTGTAAGCTGTGCTCCATCTACATGGATGTCTCCCCATCTCTTATGACAACATTTCTCCAACTTTGATCATTTTCCTTCTGCTCTTATGATTTTTTTCCCATACCAGCCTACCACTGAGAGCATGATTTGCTTACTATTCTTCCAGTGGATTCCTTTTACTTAGCTTGGTCTTAAGCAAAAACAAACCAATGAAAAGTCTTGAAATCATAGTTTTTCTAGACTAGTTCTATATTTTTAGAACGTATATTATAATACCCAGCTATGAAAATGTAAAAGCCTTGAGACCATCCATACTCTGTGGATGAGGAATGAGTGGATTCTGCCATCTCGCTCTCCTTACACTTGAGTTACCACAGCTGGCTTTGAAAGGGTGTTGGAGACGGGCGAGGGCTCCTTCTCGGCACTGTCAGAATGCCAGGGGAGGAACCAGGGAGCTGGGGGATGACAAGGGGCATCAGGAGGGATCCAAGGCTAGATGACAACTCCACAGAGTTTCACCAAATGATCAAGGATTTTGAATGTCCTCCAGAGCTGATATTCATATTTAGGAAACATGGGGACTGGAAGATAGTGCTAAGTGACATCCTAAGCAGGCAACCAGGCAAAAGTCAGAATGTGGGACATTCCTGAGGGCAACTGGACTGGTTCCTGTAGAGTCAACGGCAGGACAATACTGCTTTAGACTAAACGTCTTCAGCAACATAAAATCTCGACCATGTTTGGACCTTGGTTCAAACAAACCAACTGTAAAATGGAATCTCTGAAACAATCACAGAAATCTGACTACTGACTCGGTCTTCAATAATTCCAGGGACTCACTGTTGTATTGGGTGTGAACATGTCCCTGTGATGATATAAGAAAACACTTCTATTTTTAGCAATGTGGACTTCAGTATATGGCAGTGAATTAACATACTATCTGAGATTTGCCTTAAAATACTTTGCCTAAGAAAGACAAACCAACCCTACTTCCATAAAAAAAAATAATAATTAAATTAAAAAAAAAGACAAACCAAGGAAATGAAAAAGGACAGAAAATACAGAATAAGGCAAAATCTTGACAGTTATTGAATCTGGATGATGCATTCATAAGGAGTTCACTGTCCTGTTCTCTGTGTATTGGTGTAGGGTCAACATTTTTCCTAAGAATTTAATTTTGTTTTGAATGTGACTTTTCGTGGACAATGGGACTGCTCTCATCCATCCCCCTCCATGAGGTCTGCTGGTGGGGCCAAGAGTGAAGGACAGGCAGTGAGGGCATCTCTCTCCCCAGATTATTGGTGTTTGTGAAATTTAGTCTCCCCACATAGGGAGCCCACGATTTTGGTTCCTGGTGCTGAGACTGAGAGCTCACTCTGCCCTCAGCCCCTACTCCCAACACTGATTTGCCGCCAAAGCGAAGAAGAGACCTGCCCCCCCACCACCACCGCCAAGAGACATCACTCACCAGTCGTTCAGACATTGGGGTCTTGTCATCATCAGGTAGGTGTTGCTCCAGGGCGAGGACAATGCAGTTTGCTATGATGGTGGCTAAAATCATATATTCAAAGGGAGTATCACAGAATTAAGGAAAATCTTTCCAACTTTGTTTCGGTTCAAAGCAAAATTGAGGAGAAAGTACAGAGGCTTCCTACATGCCCTCTGCCCCTACATATGCATGGCCTTCCATGTTATCAACATGACAAACCATGATCGCCCAGAGTCTACAGCTTACATTACGGTTCACACTCTTGGTCTTGTATATTCCATGAGTCTGAGCAAATGTATAATGACACGTATCCACTGTTGCAGTCTCATACAGACTAGTACCACTGCACTAAAAATCTGACAGAAGACTTTGTAAGGAAAATGTGAATATTCTCCTTCCATCTCACTTCCAACATTCATTGAATAAATATTAATTCAGCACCCAGTGTGTGCCAGGTCCTGTTCTGGGTACTGGGGACACAGCTGAGAGTAATATAGACAAAAATCTCTGCCCCTGTGGAGAAGTGAGTGAGGCACCACATTACACTGTACATTAGAAGGTGGTGAATGCTACAGGGGGAAAAAGCAGGGAAGGAGGTCGGTGATTGTAATTTAAAATACAGCAATCAGATTTGATATCAGAAGCATGAGCAACAAAAGAAAAAAAATAGATCAATTGGACTTTGCCAAATATAAAACTCTGTGCATCAAAGGGCACTGTCAAGAAAGTGAAAAAAACACCACCAACAGAATAGGAGAAAACATTTGCAAATCATATATCTAATAAGGGTCTAGTATCAGAATATACAAAGAACACTTACAACTCAACAACAAAAAGATAACCCAATTAAATAAAAGGCAAAGGGTCTGAAGGGACATTTCTTCAAAGAAGATATTCAAATAGCCAATAAGCACATGAAAAGATGCTCAACATCCTTAACCATTAACAAAATGCGAATCAAAACCACAACGGGATACCACTTCACAACCAGTAGCATGACCAGAATGAAAAAAAAAAAAAACCCAGAAAACAGTAAGCGTTGTTGAGAATATGAGAAATTGGAACCACTGTACACTGCTAGTGGAAATGTAAAATGGTGTAGCCACTGTGGAAAATATTCTGATGATTCTTCGAAGAGTTAACCACATGACCCAGCAATCCCACTCCTAGGTATATACCAAAAGAACTGGAAAACTGGTACACAAAGGCATGTTCATAGAAGCAATATTCACAATAGCCAAAAGGTAGAAACAGCCCAAAGGTCCATCAAGGAATGAACAGTTAAACAAAATGTGATATAGCCTCAGAATGGAATATTATTCAGCCATAAAAATGAAGTGCCGATACCTGCTACAAAGTAAATGACGCTTGAAAACACTATGGTAAGTCAAAGAAGCCAGACACAAAAGACCTCAAATTGTATGAATGCCATTTACATGAAATGTCCAGAACAGGCAAATCTACAGTCAGAAAGCAGATTGGTGGTTGCCAAGGGCTGGGAGAGGGGGAAATGGTGAGTGGCCACTTAATGTTTTGGAACTAAAGGTGACAACTGAACAACATGATGATTGTACTAAAGGCCATGGAATTACTCACTTAAAATGGTTAGTATTGTTATGTGAATTTCACTTCAATACAAAAAATACAATATGGTGGTCAGGGCCAGCCTCTGAAAAGCAGGCCTTTCAAGATCAGAGGGAGGGAAGGGGCTATTGCATGTGACGATTTCCAGATGCACATTCCTCTCTCTCCAGGAACAAACTTCCCCCTGCATCCGGGGAGCTCTCCTCCAGGTTGAGATAGTCCTACCAGATAGTCCTACCAGAGGGTCTGCCCTTGGGGAGGGTCTGTCCTGCACACTTCATATTAGGGCCTGATCTGCTGATCAGCTGGTGAACGAGAATCCCTGTCCCCTCACCAGACCTGCAGAACCACCCTCAGGTCAACAAAGCTGGCCATCTCTGAGAAGGAGGTTTAAGTGTGGAGAAATGGATGCAGGAAGGAGAAGGAAGGCCCCAGGGTACTGGTTACCCTGGAACAAGGTTTCCCAGCTTCGGCACTACTGACATTTGGGGCGGACCATTCTCTGTAGTGGGGCTGTCCTGTGCACTGTAAGACGAGCAGATTCTCTGGTCTCCACCCACTAGATGCCATTAGCACCCTCCTCTCCGGTTATGACAATCAAAACTGATGACAACCAAAAGTGATCTCCGGATATTCCCAAGTGTCCCCCGAAAACACTAATATCCACTGTTTAACAGAACCATCAAACAGCCTGTCTTGAACTTGCCCAGGTTAAACTTTCGCCCTCCACCCAGCTTTCTCTCTTGGAAACTTAACTGGCCTTGGTCTTCTGTTTGGCCCCAGAGTTACATTTGGTATTTTGGAAACTCCATAAAGCCACAGGCTAAAAGTGGAGTTGGAGTGTATACCCACTTTCCAAGTGTGAAAACAAAGTCTGGAATAGACCACCTGGGAGTAAGAATCTAAGTAAACCAGGCAAACCAGATCTTTGTCACCAGCTTCAATATAGCCTCTGCCTCCAGCTGAAAGCTTAGCTCCACGCACACTTTGAAAAGCAAATCCAAGACTCAGGGCAATTCGGGGAGCCAACAAAAGCCATTCCTGCTGACGATCGTCTCTGATTGGCTTCCTGCCTCCAAGCTGACAGTCATTAGGAGCACAGAGAACAAAGCGGGGCTGTGTTGCACAAATACTCCATTCTGCCTCACCCTGCAGCCCAGAAAATAAGAGACAATATTTGTACACAGAGAAGCAATGCCAAGCCCTTCCCTGGCCTCCCCTTGCCGAGGCTTCTGAAGCCATGATTTGAATCTGATGATTTTGTTTCCCCTTCCTGCCAACTAGCTCCCTGTTTGCTTCTGCACGAAGCCACCACCTCACTCTTCGGGCCCCCTGGCCTCCTGCCCCTAAATGGCAGCGATATGACTTCCTTTGCATCAGCTTTGAGCTGAGGTTCCAGGAAGAGTCCCAGAAGGCCAGCAGCAAGCAGCACTTTTATGGGCTGCGTTATCAGGGTTTCAATTGCCTGCTGGCACCTGGATTTCAGACCTGGAGCTCTCCGGGTACGACAACAAAGCCTTAGTCAGCACGTGGGCCAACAAAAAGAGGCTGCCCACCCCCATCTTATTTCTTTTTCTTACTTTTTGTTAGCCAGGGACACACTGGCTGTCCAATGTCATCCCTCTTTCCCTCCACATACCCACAGACCCAGCCAATGTCCACAGGGACAACCCAAGTGGGAATCTGCAACAGTGACCTTACACCCTTGTGTGTGTAAGGTCACACACACTTAAATGTGTGGTCCAAGAACCAACTGCATAGGCAACATTCATTAGAAAAGCAGAGGGTCAGGCCCCACGCTGACCTGCTGAGTCAGAATATGCATTTTAGCAAGATCTCCAGGGGATCTGTGTGCACACTGAAGTTTGGGAGGTGCTGCCTTAGATCTATTTCAGGGGGAGGAGGAGCCCAGGTAATTGTGGCTTTGAGTCATCCAGAAAGAAGTGGGGGCTCACCTTTCTCCTTCACATTCTGACCCCCAGGAGAATTCAGGTGGCCTTGATCAGTCTTCTGCCTCCACTCAAGGGGGCTGAAAAGAAACCCAGGATCTTGGTGGAATAAAAGCCATGTTGAAATGAGAAAAGAAACAGAGAAGGAAATTCATGCTTACTGCACGTGGAAGGATTTACAGCCTTTCCACAGCTCCCATCTCACTCAGAAAAAAAAGTCAAAGTGCTCCCAGCAGCCAGCGAGGCCCTGCCCTCATCTCTCCCAGTCTCCCCCTTGTTCACCCAGCTGGAGCCACAGTGGCCTCCTCCAGGTCCCTCAAACACACGAGGCACATTCTTCCACCAGGGCCTTTGCACCTGCTAGTCTCTCTCCCAGAACACTCTTTTCCCCAGAGACCTGCATTGTTCCCTTCCTCACTTCCTTTAGGTCTTTACTCAAAAGTCACATCCTCAGTGAGGACTTCACCACCCTTTTCCTACTTAATTTTTTCCCTTGGCCCCAAACATGTTATACTTTTCTTCTTTATCTTGTTCACTGTTTCTCTTGCCTAACAGACAATCAGCTCTAGACAAGTAGGGATTTCTGTCTACTTTGTTCACTGCCTTGTTCTTGGCACCTAAGAGGGCATCAGTTATACAGCAGGTGCTCAGTAAACACCTGTGGAAGGAAGGGTTGGTGGGTCCTTCTTTCTGCATCTCTCCCCTCACTTCATCACGTGCCAAGTCTCCATGGGTATGTTACAGACACGATCAGCTCCTTGAAACATGCAATGATGCGGCTGGAACACAGAAACAAAGATAGGGTACCGAGTTCTTGGCAAGGAGGAGATCCTCTCTGCAAGTAGAAGTCAAAGGTAGTCCAGGCAGGGGGAAGTGAGGCTTTCTCAGCCCAATCCTGAGTCGTGCTTGATCCTCCCAATTTAGAAAGCCTTGGTTCTAACTCACAGCTGCGGTGAGCAATGCCTCTGATAGCTGAGCCGAGCCTTCCTGCTCCCTGACTGGTTTGGGGAGAAAGCACCTGTGTCAGCGGGATCCAGAATAATCAGCCAGCCAAAGAGGCCAAGTGGAGGAGGGGTGTTGAAAGGAGAGAAGCATCCCTGGTGGGAGGAAAAGCTGGCTCCTGAAATGGCTGGTGGAAGTCAGGCTAGCAAACAGCCCTGCAGGCAAGTGCAGATACACAAAGCTTCCCCTACAATTAGATTGATCAAGACCCAGAGGCCACAGCGAGGGGCGATGTGTGACACTGCAAACAACCAAGGGATTCTTTGCAGGGAAGAAGGGCTGCATCTGTGAACAGGAGCCGCTCTTGGGATCCAGAACATCAAGGAAAATCAATCTGTAAAGTGGGCATGGTTGATGGCTCTAGCCCCTTAGCAAGACCTTGCAGAACGGCCAAGTAATTCATCCTTCTCTTTGTGGTGTTCTTCCTCCCCCTATCATTCCTACCTCACTTCCAATCTCCTGTGGTTGGTGTGAAAAATCAAATCAGGTTTGTTAACGCATCAAGGTCTTGTCTCTACTATAGGGGCTGCCTGATGTGTGTGTTCTAAGG